CATCTAATAGGTTGTATGAGAACAAAAATCTGTCATTTGTTATACTGACAACAGGTTGTGGGAGAACAAGAGAAGCTTGCAACAGCTTTTTCACTTTTTGATTTAATTTAGAAACTGTTTTTGCACTTAATGTCGATGAGAATGTTTTTACCAAGTAATAGCTCGATTTAATACAATGAAATATGAAAACTTCTATCGTGAATGTGTCATAGTGTCTAACATATTCCAAACATGGACAAAGTTCTAATATAATGAAATACGTATTGGATGGATACACGAGGGAATTGTTTGTTTTAGATTTAATTATTATATTTAATCTGTAAAGAATTATATTTTTTTCTGATAGTTTTTAACTGAAAATAAAATTCATATCGAAGAAAATTCCTTGTAATATTATATTTAATCACTACATACAATTTGTACAGAACTATGTTTCTTCCGTTAATTCTTAACTTAAGGTAGGAATTCATACTGAAGAGTAATTCATATAATATTATATTTCTTTCCTATCAAGCAATTAACCCTATAAATAGATAAAAAGGGATTGGTGTTACTGTAAGACAGAACCTTTGAATCTGCGTGAGGTTTTATAGTTGCAAATGGGTTCTTTTTGTTTTTGGTTTTGCTTTGTTGTTTTGAGTTTTGCAAGTTCACAAGTTGCTAATGCAAGTGTTGAAGGAACTGTTTTTATCAATGGAAAAGTTCCCATTGGTAGAATAGATGAAGATTTTATTTGTGCTACTTTAGATTGGTGGCCTCCTGAGAAATGTGATTATGGTACTTGCAGTTGGGGTCTTGCCGGTCTTCTCAATATGGTATTCCACACTGTCCTTGTTTCTTACTTTTCTGCAATATTTTCATGCTTTTGAAAGTCAATTTTGCCAGTTTAAAAGTGGTTGCTGATCTTTCCTTTTTTTTTTTGCAGGATCTTAATAACAATATGTTCTTGAATGCCGTAAAAGGTAAGTTAATTCATTTTCCATACGTTGATATTCTTTAATTACTTCATCTTTATTTGTTTAATTATTTATTATTTTTCAGCTTTTTCACCGTTGAAGATTAGATTGGGGGGCTCGTTACAAGACAAAGTGATATACGGCACAGAGGACAATCAACAACCCTGCACTCCGTTTGTCAAGAACACATCTGAGATGTTTGGTTTTACACAAGGATGTTTGCCTATGGATAGATAGATGGGACGAACTCAATTCCTTCTTTCAAAAAGCAGGGTATATACATACATACATACATATATAATTATATATAACGAACACCAATACGAATGATTAATATAACTCAACTGTTTCATAATTCAGGGCTAAGGTTATTTTTGGATTAAATGCTCTTGCTGGTCGAACTATACATTCTAATGGTGAAGCCCTTGGTGCTTGGAACTACACCAATGCCGAATTTTTTATTCGTTACACTGTCGAAAAGAACCATACCATTCATGGTTGGGAGTTAGGTAACCACTGATGAACTGTCTGAATTATTGATACATTATCGGTACTAAGATTGAAATGAATTGTGTTTGTTATGTTTTGCTTATCAGGAAACGAATTGTCTGGGAGCGGGGTTGGAACTCGGGTCTCGGCAGACCAGTATGCAGCTGACACTGCTGCTCTTCAAAGCGTAGTGGAAAATGTTTACAAGAATGTCGATTTGAAGCCGTTGATTATTGCACCTGGTGGTTTCTATGACTTGGATTGGTTCAAAGAATACTTAAATAAGACAATCAAATCCGTATATGTTGTCACTCACCACATATAAAACCTTGGACCAGGTGTGATTCACCTTGTACAATCCAGTATTTGGATCATCTAGGAGCTTAAGACATGAAAGAAGGTTCGGACTTGACGATCATTTTTCTATCTGTAGGAGTTGATGAGCATCTTGTCGAAAAGATTCTCGATCCATCTGTTCTCGAAGGTGAGTCTGAAACATTCAGCGGACTCCATAACATCATCAAGAGTTCTCCAACTTCAGCAGTGGTCTGGGTGGGTGAGGCCGGAGGAGCTTACAACAGCGGCCATCACCTTGTTACAAATGCATTTGTGTTCAGCTTCTGGTATTTAGATCAACTCGGAATGGCATCAAAGTATGATACGAGAACGTATTGCAGACAATCACTTGGTGGAAATTATGGTTTACTGAACACCACCAACTTTGAACCAAATCCAGACTATTACAGGTTATTCTGCTTTCTGAATTGTTTTCATTACGAGACTCGCGGCCTATCTATTTTAAATATTGATGATGTTCTTTCTCCATGGCAGTGCTCTTCTTTGGCACCGGCTAATGGGAAGAAATGTTCTTTCGACGAGCTTCAACGGTACTGAAAAGATCCGCTCATACACTCACTGTGCAAAACAATCAGTAAGTTCATCATCTCGTATGCAATTATCAAAGCAAGTAGTCGTAATTTCTATTTTGACCAAAGTTTTGTTATATCTTGCAGAAAGGCATCACTCTACTATTGATCAACCTAGACAATAGCACTACGGTCAGGGCAAAGCTTGCGTTCAATAGCACACCTTGCGACACATGAGTTGAGTTTAGTGGAAATTGAAAAGTTCGATGTTGCGAATTTTGACTTTTGGAAGATGCAGATTGAAGATTTTTTGTACCAGAAAAATTTATATCAACCTCTCTCAGCTTCCTCAAATCTACGAAATTCCCCGAATCTGCAAATACCCAGATTTCATTTCTACCCTTTTCTGTGCCTTCTTAAAATAAAGAACTTTGTTCTTTTAAGACTTGTGAATGGTGGAAACACTTGGGATCACCAGCAATTTTATGCTCTCCCTTTGTAGGTCAAGGGCGAGCACTCTCTTCTCTGTTTCTTCGGTCTCTATTTTCGCTTTCGGTTCTTGCAAAGCTGCCTGGTATTACCGCTGTCTTGGCCTTGACCCATAAATATATACCCAGGAATCCCTCTTAATATCCGGCGGTCACCCAGATTTATTTCGGATCTAAGCAAAGCAAAATAAACCCGTTGTTTTTTCATTTCGATTAACAGTTTTTGGTGTAATATTCGCTCGTTTGATCGTTTTATTTTGGGGAAAAAAGTGAAAATGGTACTTTACAAGCAGAAGAAGACTCAGGATCCTAAGGGGAATAGGATCTTGATTAGCATCACTGTTTTGGGAAGTGCTGGGCCGATCCGTTTCGTTGTTAACGAAGAAGAGCCTGTTCCTTCTGTTATCGATACTTCTTTGAAAGCTTATGCTCGTGAGGGTCGTCGTCCGGTTCTTGGATGCGATATCGATGATTTCTTCCTTTATTGCCCCAGCGCTAGCTCCGATGCACTGAATCCATGGGAGACAATTTGATCACGAGGGGCAAGGAATTTCATCTTGTGCAAGAAGCCAAGAAGGGAGAAAACGGAAGGTGATGGAAAGCCAAGTGAAGCGGTTACCAGGAATTTACTCGTTTATTTCCCAACAACATGCACCGTTCTCATACTCCGCACCATAAGCACAGAATCCATAAAACAACGATCATCACGCTGCCTAAAGGCATCTATTCCAGACTAAGAAGAGAGGAATACCATCTAACAGCAAAAGACGGAAATTTGCAGAGCCAAACCATGCTACTCAACGGAAAAGTTTTAAGTGTAAATTCTTCGGGGATCATACCTCCATTGGAGCCTTTACATGTAATTTCAGCGAAGCCGATAATGGTTGCTCCTTTATCCATTGTGTTCGTTCACATGCCTGGTGTTACTGTCCCTGCTTGCAAGGTTCAGCCGTAGATGGAACCAAAATTGGCTGCTTTTTGTTTTTGTTTTTTTAAACGATGTTTTTTGGTTATTGATTGATCAGATAGGAAATAGAACATATTACATATAGATATTTCATTATTTTTCTCCACAGTAAAGAATATAATGCAACATACCCTTTTCCCCCATGTACTAGGTATTTTATTATTTCTTTAATATATGATTCTAAGTCAACTTTCATGTACAAAATTTTTCTTAATTTTCAATTCTTTAAATTTAAAAATAATCAGATTAAATAATTATCAAATCACAAACTCCAGATGATGAATACTTTGTAAGAATAAATATATCACACACTAATACAAAAATATATGCAATAAACTGTTTTTAAAATAATTAAAAAGAATTTAATTAGTATATGTCATTAATTATATAATTACATCAAATCCAAATATGCAAACTAGGGCTGCTAACTGAGTTGAGCAACTCTCGAGTAGTTGAATCTGATTCGGTCAAAAATCAATCAATACTCGATTATAAATAACTTGACTCAAATTTGAGTTTGATTTGAGAATGTAACCAATCAAGTCGAACAAGGTCCAACTTGACTCAATAATTTCACGAATAGTCTTATTTTTAAGATGTTGATCGCGTTGTTTTTAGAATTAACTGACTCTAATTTGAGTTTCTTGCCTTACACGACACGATTACAAGATAGCCAGGTTTGAAATCATAAACTTTGCTGAGCTTTCACCTATGAACACATCCATGTATGTGAAAACATCACCTCTTAGATAAAAAAAAAAAGAATAAAAACTAGAAGGTTTTTGAACTGATCATTATAACTTGGAATGAATAAACAGTGGCTTAAATTTCCTATGGTCTAAACTCGTTCTTTTTAGTGTTGAGGTGGTATATTTCTTGCATCATGAAGAATGACAATTTCAATGGCTCTTGGTGTATAATTGTGCTATTCTTTTGAAACCAATTGAATAGTGTTATTCAGCAGCTAAGATGGTTTATCTTTCTGTTAGTCATTAAGAATGCCATACCAGTTTTTGCTGCATCAAGATGTCATATTTACTTGACTTATTTTCCCAAAGCGAAGTCAAAAGTGGCGCTAAATTGCTGATCTCAATCTCTAAGTATTGCTTCTCTCTCAAGCTCTCTCTTCCCATCATGTAATGTTATGAGGATGCATATAAATTATCGCCTTTTTCACTTTTACTCTTCTATGCAGGTTTGACTGGACTGATGCATCTAGATCTCTTTGGGGATTGGATTTAAGACACTGGAACAAGTTATTTGCAATGTATGCCAGAAGCATTGCCATGGCTTAAGTAAATTAATAATTGGAAGTCGCATGATCATTGTAGCCATTAACCTATGTTTTCCTCCTAGATGTTCGGACAGATAACTTTGTAGACTTTCTACTGTGTTCAATTTTTGTGTTAAATAATCTTACACCTGTTTTATTTTATTTTTTCATATGCTAAAACAGGCTTCAAGAATCTCCAGTCCTTTGAAATATGTGGCGGGGGTTTAACCGATGTTGGTGTGAAAAATATCAAAGATCTCCCCTCCTTAACGCTACTAAACGTTTCCCCAAACTGCAACCTCACAAACAAATCCTTGGAGTTGATTTCTGGTATGTTTTGCTTCTATTTCCGAGGGCTCTGTGGTGTTGTTTAGTTTTGGTCTTCTTCAACCCATTGTTAGAACAAGCATTACTGTATTCGTATTTAAACGGATACAGAGACGTATACGATATTTGTATCTCTAGTGTCACATTATTTCATCTGGCAATAGGCCCACACTCACAGGATTCCTGTAATTCAGTGTTTTACTGCAGTCTGGTAGCTTATGACAAGTTGGCTTGAAAATGTCTAAATATTGATGAATGGAGAGATTATTTGGTACTTGCTATTAGTAGCTGTAGAATATGAAAATATCCTAGTCGTTTGCTCTGTTCTCTGATGAAGTCACTGGTGGATTTTGACAGGACTGACTGCATTGGTGTCGTTGAATGTTTCGAACTCCAACATAACTAATGATGGTTTGCCATATTTAAAGCCTCCAAAGAATTTATGGTCACTATCGTTGGAGTCATGCAAGGTAAGCGCCGCTGAAGAAGCTTCAGTCGGCCTTCCCCAACCTTGTCAGCTTTCGACCAGAATAAAAGTCTGGGGGAAGCTGCTACATGTGCTGTAATTGTACATAGCTACTATCAGCTGGGGATGGCTTTCTCAACTACTAGTATGTGTATATTGAAATGTGAAAAGCTCCCTTCCTAATGTGAGTGAGATGATTGTAAATTTGTTGTTGCTGAATTTGGAATTTTCCTCGTGAAAAACCAAATAAAAGGATTTGTAGTTTTGTACATACAAAATTTTATATTTATGTTCTGAAGAGTGGAAATACAATCAAGTAAAATAAGCAAAACCTGAAAACAAATTCACCACAATCCTTTAAAACCATATAGTAATACAACATGCAAATTAGGATCATCATCAACCGAATACAAAACTGTCTTAGTAAAAGTGTAAAACCACCTAGTCTTTAAAATCCGAAAGACAAACATGCAGCTAGAAGTTAACTGATCAATCTAGTAAACAATTCAAGCATAATTGCAACTAAGCAAGAATTCAGCATGTATTTTCTACTTCTTTGAGGGAAACTGATGAAGACCAAAGCAGAAACCAACAGAAAAAAATGAGATCCCTGCTGCTCCTTCATGTCATCTCCAAACATGTATTGGTAACCTATTTATAGAAAAAGGGAATCACGCATCTTTCAGAAATCCAATAGTTTCCTTAGAATCTGAAAGTCTAAGTTTGATGGTTGATGTAAAAGACAATAGCATAAAAAACCTGCACAAGGGAAGATCCTATGTTATGCCTGGAAATAAATGCTTAAAATCAATTATATACGTTTTCTAAAAACATGGTATCGGAGGTGAATAAACATGTAATTGAGAGTCATAAACCAGTAGATTTTAAGTGCACGATATTAATTGCAGCATATTTTGTCACATAGTAAATTGTTTTTCATACTAAAGAAAGAACCAACTTACCAACCTGTAATGCAGTACTGCACGTCTTTCAATCAACTGGTACCCTGGAAATGCCAGTCAAAAAAACATGCAACTCATGCATGCTCCAATGCATGATAGATATTCGGAACCCGCCGTCTAAGTAATGGTTCTAGTCGGTGTGACTGAATCTTGCCATTCCACCTTTTAGCTTCATACATCTCATTCCATGCCTGTATTATCTCATCGATCTTAAACCCCAAGCCTGCAAGTAACAAAATATAGGTTATGCTTTCAAGGTATATGCAGATGTCAGCTGACGACACAAAATTTATGAATTTCTATCCATATGTTACCTTCCAGTGCAATTTTATTTGAACAGTAGTTCTTTACCATAACAGCTACATCTGTAGGAGAAACTCCAGCATGCTCAAACTTCTCAATAGCAACTTCCAAACATTCATGCCAGACAGGAAGACTAGTTTGAATTAAATGATTGAACGTTCGTAAAGTATAGTACCCCATAACAGGTTTATAAGAGCACTCATGTTGATTGCTTGCTCTGCAGCTTCATCTGCTGATATATCTTTGAGAAAACCATTCGATCCTATTTTCCTCAACTGATTTTGTTCATTCTTTGAATCGGAAAGCTCGAGTATGCGCTGCCGTTCTAACTCCTCCCACATCTGCATACCCCTCTCCATATTTTCCTCGGCATTGTTATAGAGGTGCAAGACGTTCTCAGAAGGCCATGTCTCCGGATCAACATTATTTGTAATTGCATAATACCAAGAAAGTTTTGCCTGCTCAAACTTTTGTTGCCCAAGAGCTAGATGAGCTTCAAAGAAATCTGGTTTGATTCTCAGTGCTTCCTCATATCTCTTACCAGCTTTGCTGTATTCTAATTGTGCATAATCATAGGTAGTTTTGATCTGCTCAAGTATGGATTCTCTCAAACCATCTTCGCTGACATAGACCCTCTTCCTAGCTCTTGACATGTGAACATTTCCCCAGTCGAACAATGCTAATGCTGTCATCGCTTGGAATTTCTGAGCTGCCATGTCAAAAAGGTCCTGGGCCTCTTCCCTTGTAACTGTGTCTTCCATGGCCTCAGAATATTGCTTCATACCAATTTCATGAAGATTTAAGTATGCATCAAAATCCGAGCCAACATAGTACTTGAATAGTTGAGCAAACTCAACTATCCAATCATCGATGCAACATGAGTCTTTCCCGTTTTCCATAACCTTTCTAGCATCACCATTTTCAGCAGCCTTACCTTGTTTGATGCCAAGATTGTGAACTTCCACACGCTTAAATCTCTCGAAGAACGGATCCTGCTTGGAATCAACTTCTACAACATACAGCCTCAGAGAACCCTGTGATTTTGCTGCTATTTCAGCCAATCTCAACTCTTCATCACTGGTGTTTGTGACTAAATCACCTTCTTCATCTCTATATTTGACAAGAACTGATCTAGAGCTAGGAAATCGATCGTGAATTACTTCCTTTAGTTGCACAAGGCTGCAGTTAAGTGGCAACTGAGCCCATCTTATATCATCACCCAGAATCAACTTGACATTCTGCTTTGGTAGTTCCATTTTACTGCTAATTTTCTCCTCCACAACCTGTTTATCCTCAGCCTTCTTTTCCTCTACATTTTTATCAACTTTCTTCTCCTCAATTCGATTAACAACCTTGTCATCTTGAGCTTCACTGATTTTCTTCTTCTTCTTGGTTTTCTCTTTGACAACTTTCGATGTTTGGGAAGCATTTGGTGGTTCAACATATTTATCCTCAGCCTTCTTTTCCTCTACATTTTCATCAACCTTCTTCTCCTCAATTTGATCCACAACCTTGTTATCTCGAGCTTCACTGATCTTCTTGTTCTTGGTTTTCTCCTTGACAACTTTCGGAATTTGTGAAGCACTTGGTGGTTCAGCGTATTCTTCAGCCTCATTAATCTTCTTGGTTTTCTCTTTGACATCTTTCTGATTTTTCGAAGTACTTTGAGGTTTAATGGATTCCAGAGGTAATTCAACCAGTAAACCTTGTTTTTCTAGTGAACTTCTTACCCTTTGTGAAATCTCTAATGCCATGGTATTATTAGGCTCCATGTTAAGAACTGCATTAACATCTCTGAAAGCTAATTCCAGCCTATTCAAAGACTCGTAACACCGAGCTCTCTTTACGAGAGCTTTACTATACTTCGGTGTGACCTTCAGGGCCAAATTAAGCTCAAGGATTGCCTTGGGGTACTCGCTCAACCCCATCTGCATATAACATGCAGCAATATCGGTCCTAAGATAGCACACATCTATGTGATTCTTTGGAAGCAATTTGAGAGCCTTCCCATATATCATCATTGCTCTTTCAAGGTCCCTTTTCCGAAACAGTTTGTTTCCCTCTTCCTTCAGTTCCTGAGACAGGGCAATGAAAACTGCCGTGTCCAAATCATACGATTTCGAACTATTTCCCCCAACTTTGTTTTGCTTCATATTGTTATCACCTGTTTGCCCTGTTTGCTTCTTGTTCTTTCCACTATGCTTCCCCATTGAAAATCCAAATCAAACTAGAAACCCTCACAAACAAATCAAATGCGACGACAACGACGACAGCAAATCACTACCCTGATATTGAACAAACTTGTTATACAAGTTAAAAGATTCAACCCCACCAGCTAAAACCACATGCAACCTCCCACCAAGGATGAAATTAATTCCCAGGAGACCTTAAAACACCAACTTTTGACAACTTTTACTATGAGTAAGAGATTCAGAAACCAGTTCAAGCACACCAAACCATTAAAACCCAGATACCAAAAATGAAAAAAAAATGTAATCTTTACCAACTCCAAGCCAGGAGTTTTGAAATCCCAGTTTAGAGAGAAGTCAAAGAATCCTCAAGCCCTCAACTCCAGCTAAAAGGGAAGACCTTCATAAACAACCAAAACCAAAGAAGAAAACTTGAAGGCAGGAGACCTTAAAACTAACTTTTGGCAACTTTTACTATGAACAGAAGATTCAGAAACCAATTCAAGCACACCAAACCATTAAAACCCAGATGCCAAAATGGAAAAACAAAAGAAGCAAAATGTAATCTTTACCACCTCCAAGCCAGGAATTGTGAAATACCAGTTTAAAGAGAAGCAAAAGAATCCTCAAGCCCTCGACTCCAGCTAAAAGGGAAGACCCTTCATGCACAACAACCAAAACCAATGAAGAAAACTTGAAGGCGGGAGACTTATCTGGGGGAAATGAATTCATAAAGCTAATGTTTTTGTTTATTTTTTCTACAGAAATTCAGCTTGACGTAAACGCCACAAAAAAGCTGTCTTTGTTTGAATTCTTTTGGCTGCTTTATATCTCAAAAGCAAATTGCTTTATGTCTTTCCCAAGGGATTCCAGGTTTGTTGTGTACGTTTGATGAAAAGCCAGAGGCAGAGATTTGTTTTGACTACTGCCACCACCACCATTTTTTTTCATTAGAATACACTTGTAAGTTGCTACTTTCTTTCTATTTTGCTACATTCAATCACAAATATTACTTGTATGTTTAAAAAAGCACCAAATCAAAGGGACTATGATAACAAATATACACATTGCAATAGGTCCAAATTCCTTGGCTTGAAAGTTGAGAGGCACGATGGTTGTAACAAGTCAATGTTTAAAATCATATTAAAATATTTCTTTTAGGTCCACACCAAAGCAATGTGAAACTGTTTACAAAATAGATTAATTGTACCAAACGTTTTTTAAAAGATAAATTACACTCATGATTATTTAATTATACATAAATTTTATTTTAATTATTGAACTTTTGATTTTATCAATCATGTCATTTAATTATTTAAATAATGTCAATCAAATTACATATTGCTATTATTTAACAAAGAAGTTATTATGGTTTTTAAATTTTTTTGTATAATAATATATTTGATCTGTATTACTTATACATTCTATTAATTAACTAAATTAATAAAATATGTAAGTAATGAGAATATAATATATAAGTATACTAATTTTTTAACTACATCCATCAAATTTTAACAAGTGACTTGGTTGATATTATTTAAATATCAATAGTAAAAATAGAATTTTTCTATAGTTAAATGATCCATTGGTATAATTTACCCTTTCCTAAAATATATCTCAAATTTAAAAAAAAAATCATTGAAGTTTTTTAGTGTATCGTTTTAGATCTGATATAAAACATGTTTAAAGCATGCATATGCATAGTATATAAATAAATTGAATTTAGGGTGTTAGGAAGGAGGGTTATTTATTTTTTTTAATTTGTAAAATATCTGATAAATTTGAGGCAATGATTATTTTAAAAATCTCATGATTAAAATGTTAATTTTAAATTATCAAAAATAAATCTTAAAGTTGATGATTCATGACCTAATTTTTTAGGATAAACTATGTATTTAGTCACCTAACTACTATTGTAATTTTGTTTTGGTCATCTAACTATTTTTTTTAAATTATACCTAAAATTACACTTTTGTACCATTTTGGTCAACCGCCATTGAAAATAAACATAATTGTTGATATGGTAATTTTTTTTATTTTTTCAATGATGACGTAACATTACTCTTTGATGACACATAAGCGTCACTGTTAATTTTTTAATATCAAATGATCAAAATAGAACTAAAAGATAATTTCAGATATGATTTTGAAAAAAATAATTGAATGACTGAACACGTAGTTTATCCTTTTTTAAGGTTATTTTCATATAAAAAAAAGGCCTAGATTTTAGATTTCAAGCAGAGGATTTTGGGGGCTTAAGTCCATAAACATGTTGAATGGCTTACACTTTTTAACAAAACAACACGAAGCCCATCTTAGCCACACACTTATATGACGTGGCGGTATCCCATTGCTCAACCTGCGTAGACCAGTGTCATCTTCAGCAGCTGTGGATACATCTTCTTCTTCCTCAACTTCCTTCTTCTCAGCAGGCACAAATTATATCGTTCTAGATTAAACTACGGTTCCTCAAAACGGAAAAAAAGGAAATATGAGACTGTTTTTTAGTTTGGTAGCAGTTGTATATATCTTGGGCAGCAATGTCTTAGCCGATCAGATTTTCTCATCTCAAGTAGGTCAGCCCATATTTCATAGTTTTTCTTCTTCTTTTTAAATGTAATTCATCTATTTTTTTTATAGTTCTAGGTTTTCTTTGATTCTTGTGTTCATGCGTGAAACGTAGAAGAGTTGAGTTCATGATGAGACCTTATGATGGCACTTCAAATATCTATTCCCGACGATTTTATTGTTTTAGATGTATGAATGTTTCCTGGATTGTAAGACATGCTACTTGTTTATTGTTAATTAGTAGTTAGGGATGGACAGCGGGACTGGTAGGGCGATCGGCCCTATGAAATTTTAAATTCTCTTATAATTTAGGTATTTTCTCTATTTTATATCCATAGTTTTCATCTCCAAAATTTTATAAATTCACCCCTAACTAAATAGACTTTATGTCTGTGTAAAGTGTTTTCTGCATCAGTATTGTTCCCCTTTCCCCCCCCCCCCCAACTAGAAAGACTTTGCAATTGAGTTTAGTTTGTTTACTTGTGAACCCCAACTCCTTTTGGCAAATGTTCTTTTATAGAGTTACGAATAAGTGTTGAATCTGACTATTTATTCATGAGAGCAAAGTGTTATGACCCAAACATCTATGCCAACTCAGCAATCCTATCAATTATTGACAGATCAACATTCCAAGGCTTTGTTGGTTACGGTAACTAGCTATAAAATATAGCGGAGTCAATGAAGGAAGGGCATGAAATATTGTTATAATCTGTTACTCTCTCCCTTTCTAGTTTCTCTCTGTTCTTCCCTCCTATTTCTCTTTCTATCTTCTCTATTTGCTGTAATTTCTTGTTCTTCAATGGAATACAACTTAATTACTTGAGTTCATATCATTAAGAAACTGAGTGAGTTCATAACACAAAGTCATGCTAAGAGCTGATTGTTTGATAAAATTGGATAATATGAATCATAGCCGACACGCTAAGGTGGACGCCAAATAATTGGCTTATGTTCTCTTTGCTTTGTGTTTGTGGATCAATCAAAGGCTATCGGTTCTTAAATATAGAAGGGTGAACTTGAGAAGCCTAGTAAACCAGAGACTGAAAATAGTAATATGTAAAAATCCTGAAATCTTTTACGTGTACACATTAATGTAAGCGAGAACATTTTTATTTTGAAGTTTTCTGCTTAACATGCTCTTATTATTTGCAACTTATTTTGTTTTCCTACTAACGAGTTCAAATAAACTAGTATACATTTTATCTAGCAACACACTTCAGCGTAATGATTTATTTTCTATGTTTGAATGCTTGAGAAAGTTTGTATTTTGAAATTGGAGAGAATGTGTACAAACTAGATTGCAACTTGAAAGATGGTTATTAATGGTATGAGAATAATGAAAATCTCAGTGTCTTAATCGTGTCGTAATTTTCCGTGTGAATATAGCTTTAATAGTGAGCTGGTTTTCCTTTGATGTGAACCTATCAAGTTCCATCTGGACTTGCCACTTTTAATGATCTAATATTACAATGTTTGGAACATTTTGCAGGATGATGATCAGGAGTCTGTTTTATGCCTAATAAAGATGGAAAGATCATTTTATGTTTCTTGCCAAAGGTGGAAAAGACCAAGACTTTAAAGCCAGTTACTCAGCAGAACACTAGTAGCATGATTGTGGAGTCCGAGAAACGTGTTAAACTGAAAACACCTGATGAACTGCTGGAAGTACTGAAAGATAGAAGCTTTATCAGAGTAGACACCTGGTCCCTCACAATGTTTGTTTGGTGTTGCCTATATTGAATTGATGATGCTGTCATTGGACATTAATGCAAAGAATTGAGAAAGGCTTTGTTCTTCCTTGGTGTTATGTGCCACTTAACTCATATCTGTCTCTAATGCTTATGTTGTGGGCTCTTTTCTTTGCAGCAAGAGGGTTGGTGATCTTTTGAATTTTGCTACCAAAAGCAGTTGAGGAAACTACATGTGGAAGATGATAAGGTAGATCTTTTATTGAATTTAAGGTGCTCATATTTACAGTAGACTTGGGCTTTTTCACTTGTTTGAGAGTTTCGTCTTGTGATGTATGCTACCACCAGCAGCTTTTATAATTTCTCAATGGTACATTTTCTACCATTTTGGAATTATTGCAGGTGGTTCGGGAATTTGTCTTGGGTGTATATGATGAAGAGGCCACTGCGGCTTTCAACCAGAATCTCTCCGACATCTCCACATTAAAAGATCATCGATCAAAAGATGCATCACAATTCACAAAGGTGAGATTTCGTATGGTTTAAAATTTAGGTTGCACCAAACTTTGTATGTTTATTATAATTGTGGTACCTCTTCCGGACCTCCTCGTTCACTCCACCTATCAAAGCCTCCGGAGTTCCATATCTTCCGGTTAACTACAACCTCTTAACATGACCATTGGCAGGACCACGTAATCCATTCGAACAAAAACTACTATTTGACAGTGTTATCTATTTACCTGCTAGTTTACGGATAACCATCATCACCCTAGACCTGTCACCAACACTAAGGGTCTGTCTATTCTCTACATCCTTCACAGAACTACCAATCCGGGCACTCCACCCAAACCAAAACGGGTGCACCGCCACAACTACATT